TGGTCTTGTGATTCCCATGGTTTTTTGCCTTTTGTAAAAACACTAATTTAATTGTACTTTGTGCTTGATCCTGGGAGGAATGTGTGGGCCAGAGAGATGAAAGGCAAAATAATCCACTACCACTGCTGATATGCAGGCAGAAAGCATGAAACGTCCATTTCTAATGACGCTACTCGAAGCTCTGTGTGTTACAACGAAGTCGCGCAACGTCTTTCGTATGTGCGGTGCAACTGCCCCGGTTACAGAACAGCCATGAATGATAGTAAATTACAGCTAAAGCTCCGGGATGCAGGAGGCCATGTGGTGAAGAAGTTGTTCAAACATCTTTGGAATGAGATTAATCAAACTTCACAGCATAGATGCAGTGAGCCTGTGGCACACTGCATCAAACCCAACGCAGTGTCTGCTGCAAGCGCTTTTCTTTGTAGCGTAAACCGGCTGACAGCGTGCTGCGTTGTCAATGGAATGTGTAGGGTATCGCTGCGCAGCCCTAATTGGCTCAGTTGTTCCACATTGCCGGCGCAGACCTCCACCCTACACAATGCTGCTGCTGCTGCTCTCTGAAACGAGCTGTGAGTTGCCATGGGGACCACTGCCACGCAAGTCCAAATGAGGCAGCCGGTAACATCTGCATCCTCGCGCAGCCCTCTACCCTCGGCTGAGTCCACGTTATCACATTACCGGACGCGCAGGAGAGTCAGCGGCAGGCCTACCTGCCTTCAGCTTCGCTCTAGTCTAACAACGTTACTGAGATACATGACGAGATATTAAACACAGGCTCTTACAATCAGACGAACTTTGCGTGCTTACTTTTTGACTTCTTGTATGTAGTCGACGTTTCTGTCAAAGAGGTGAGTCACGGAGTCTCTGATGGCTGCGTGTTTGAAACATGAGGCGATCCCAAACACGGTGACGTTGGGCACCGTGGAGCACAGCTGAGCCACAGCTTGACCCTGAAAATAATAACAGTTACAACAATTTGTCTGAGAGCACGGAGCATAACCAGAGATGCAGCACAGAAAGCAACACTAGGACCCAACAAACATGGATCCTGGTATAGCAGTGCTTAATGTGTACATTGTGTTGATTGCAATTATGCTTTTTAACTAGTTAGCTTTAGTTATAAAACTCTAATAACAGCTTTGTAAATAATTAAGTACTTTTTAGTCATTCCAAAACTTTAATAACTAAGAAGGATGCTCACAGAAATAATCAAAATCCAGCACAAATTTTCATTTTGCACATTAACAGGAAGCAAACTTGTTCCATCTGTACATACATAGACAGAAGTTACAGTCTGATGAAACTGTTCTGTGCAGTGTTCATACTAGAAACAGACTTACTACACCACCTCCTGCTGAGTGAACCAACACTGACATCCCCTCCCGCAGACTGGCGACCTCAAACAGCATCATGTACGCGGCCACAAAGTTCAGGGAAAACGCCGCCGCCTCGGCAAACGTCATTTCATCCGGCATCTTGTAGACGAAATCCACTGGTGTGCAAACCACCTCGGCCCAGGCATTGTAATTGACAAAGGCCATAACTCTGTCGCCTATCTGAAAGAAACATGTCAGAGCAGCGGGATAACAAGGAGCTACTGATGTGAAACGGTCATGCGGCTCCGGAGCGGAGGCGTTATTTGTACAGTAGATTATGGATCGACTCTAATGTATTTCTCTTTGTCACGCTTACAGCACATGTTTCCATCTGCACCGTCCCCAGTTTGCAGATTCTGTGGTTCTGGTTCACAAATCACCAAATGAACAACCTGTAATCGCACTAACCTCAAATCCCTTTGTGTTTTCACCCAGTGACTCTACTATTCCAGAGCATTCAAATCCAGGGACGAGGGGGGGTTTTGGAGGATTATCGACAGTCCCCTGACGTACCATCAGATCCAGGAAATTCAAGCCACTGCAACAAAGACATATTAACACCTTATTGCTTGTTGACATTAAATCCATCTCGATTCAGTTTAACGTTTGCATTAAAACGTCTGAACTGTCTCTGACCCTTGACGGCCATTTAACACCAAACATTCGGCTGTTTAAGACACTTAGGGAGCACCCGGTTGTATTTATTTCATTATTATCAGCAGTGAGTCACAGGCGATTCCTCTGAGGATACAAGGCCAGCTTCAACAAAGATTCTCCAACTGAACAAAATGGAGTGCACTTTTAATTTTCCCTAAACTGTGAGTTTGTGAAAACTAGCAATCTGGAATGTATTCACCTGATTATTATCCTGGTGGGTTGCAAAAATAGAAAATGTGATTTAAAAACGACTGAGAGATGCTGACATCAGTTGTTTTGCTTGTTTTCAACCCTCCAGTACTAGAAAAAGACCTGTGGCTTCATCACTGCGAATTTCTCAGCAACATGTGCCATCCAGCTTTGTCAAAAAAAAAAAAAAAAACACACAGTGCAAGTGGGAACCAGAAGATCACATCTCAGTCCTTACGTGCACATAACAGATATGGATGATCCTGTCATATTTACCATGCTTTGACGCGGATCTTCACTTCCCCATCCTGAGGCTCGGGCATTGCCTTCTTGGTCACCCTGAGTTTGTTAAGACCTCCGAAACCTGCCAACACCACCGCTCGCATTTCTTTGGCGTCGCCGGACGAGTCCACGTTTTCTGCTTCTTTGCCCACGTTTTTGTCTATCATGAACTCGGTTTCCTCGGTCATGTCTGCTCCTTCTTTTGCCATGTCGGGAGACCAGCTGCTCTCTGCCTCTCGATGCGCTGCTGCTCCTCGGTGCTGCTGCTGATGTGGTGTTTGCAGCCTGCACGCACAAGACAGGCGCTGCGTGGATCCACGACAGCCTCACCTCGTCCGCTGCTTCATCCACTCATCCAAAAATAACTAAAGTCCTGGATAGCACACACCTATTATTATTTTTTTGTGTTTGCTATCAAAGTCACAGATATGGTGACTAATTCAACAAAAGTTTTGCCGTTTCAGTAATCAGGAAAATATTTCATGTGTGTGCATCACCTTTCTTCTTGCAGCGGTGTGCAGAATGAAGCGCACCATCTGCTGGTGGACTGCGTGCAAAACTTTATTTATAAGAAAATCTTACTCGTGCACTTGAATCCAGCAGAAGTCCGCAGACTGCAGTCTAGAGAGAGAAACAACAGGTGTGATGCCTTCAGGTGCTGTCAAATGTGCAGGTATGGAGCAAATCAAGAGTTAAATTGTGGTAAAGCTCAACAAAGACCAAAAAACAGAAACAGAGGAGTAGACTTCCTTTCTCTTAAGTAATAATAAAGAGAGGCTAAGGTTACATATATAGTCATGTGTGTTTACAGTCTTTCCTTATGTAAGCTGATGTAAACTTACACAAGTTCACACATTGGGCTCCAATATAACCGGGTATATTTTACACATTGTGGAAAATTAGGTGTGCCGAATTAGCTATTAACAGCTCCTTTTTTGTTTTAGATCATTCGATGTAGTAATAACTCTTGTTAAAATACTTTAAAACTACAGAAATCTTTAAATCCTGAAAATTCTCAAGGCAGTTCTGAAGCGTTTCTCTCCCAGCATTATCACGTTAGCTTGTATTCATTAGGCAATAGCCAAGTCATACTTTTTAAAAATGTAATACAGGTATTAGGCGGCACTAAAACTCAAAAATCCCTAAACTTAAATGTCACTTTTAATTTTTTATTTTTTTTTTGCCAAGAGTAAGTGGAAGAAATCAAGCTAGTAGCAGCATAGCATTAGCCATAGCATTACATCACCAAGTTGTTATGCTCAGTGAGAGTAAAAAGGTGACTTACCGCATTTTAAACTGGAAGCAGAGGGACTTTAATATGATGAAAATTAAAAGTAAGTACAATAATTTTTGCCACCTCACTTAGAGCCGTTTACTTTCTTGTAACTGGTCATATGCAGCGGAAGTCCGTTAAAAAAAAAAAGCTACGCTGCTAACATCGCTTGCTTTGCGACAAGGAGCTACAATAGGCTTGAAAAATATGTATAGAAGTGCAGGTTGGGGTGATAATCGTTGATTTGTGGTTAAATCCTTTCACATTAATTTAATTCATTACTACAAAATATTGATTAGGAAGGATTTAAAGTTTTGTGGCACTGCAGGTTTCAAAAGTTCACCAACTGATAAGTCTCCTCAAATTTATTCATAACAGAAAAGACAAAATTCACAATAGTCACTCAAATAACTACAAACTGGAAAAAGTAATAATAAATTAAAAAAAATTGCTAAATTATAATTTAGTGAAATAAGACATTTCTTTTGAATTGTGGTTGAAAAGAATAATTAAAAAAAAAAAAAAATGTCCCGGACAAATTAGAGCACTTTGCTGATGAGACGTCATGATTTTACTTTTGTCAATTTCAACTTATTTCACTGACAGCTGTTTTTTTTTTTCTTCTTTAACAGGAGGGTATGAATACATTTGAGGATGACTGTATGCTCAGGTAAACCTGGCCCAATATTACATGGTGATAGTAATATTTATAGCTACATTTTTTTTAAAATTATAAGAATCCTTTAACTTTGCTTTGAGAAGAATTGTAAACATGCACTGAGAAGTTCAAATACAAGCTTGTCAATGTGGCGACAGTTTCTCCATTATTTCAAAGAAAAAAAGTTTGGCATTTAAATACTGCAGTTTCTGAAATAAGCTGATTTAATATTTAATGCTTAAAAGATATTCCTTTGAAGCTTCCTATTTGGTCAACAGCTTTAAAATTGTTCAACTTTTTGCACCGATATTTTAAAAGTGGGAAAAATAATCAGTGGCAAAAGTGTTCCTCTTTCCAACATCCTTGTGACGGCAGCAACGTATTTCATTGTTTTTTTATTTTGTTTTTTTCTTAAGTGTAAACCTTTTGTGTTCTAATTCAGTACAAGTTGTTTAGTTCAGAGTGATGGTCACTTAAAATAGTCAAACATATTTAAAAACAAACAAACAAACAAAAAAAACAACTTAAGTAGAAAAATGTTTTATCACAAAAGCCAACATGGTCAATCAAGTCAAGCAACTGCCTTTTATTGCGACTTACATTATCAATGCATCGGTAAAATGAACACAAGATCCATGTACAGTCCAATGTTCATCGGTCACAGGACAGTAACACAAACTGTAGACTCGAAGACAGCGACTCTGCAAACTAGTGCTCCACAGACGGACTGCTTTCTCACATTTTCTTAAGGGGTCCGTAGTTGTTCTCCACCAACTCTCCTGACTGTATTCATTATTTTCTGGACAGGTCGTTACACCAGCATCACTACCAACCCTGAGAAGACCCCAAACTGGGCAGAAACTTCCATGACTTGGTATTTGGCTAACATTTACCAAGTCATTTTGTGCGTATCATAGCCTTTATTGGTTTTATATATTATCTCAAAGTCGAAGAAATCTCGCTGATTTAAAAAAAAAAGAAAAAAAAAAAGGATAACTTATTGTAATCTTACCAGTATCACACATTTCACACCGTCAGTGTGTAACTGCCATAGATAACGTCCCATTGCATTTCTGCCACTGGCACATTGACACTTATCATGAAATCCATTCATGATACAATATCTTCTTCACAACTGTACATTCGTAATAGATAGGGTGAACAAAGGAAAAGGCTGGATGTGGAACAACAGTGAAATGATTCTCTCTAATGTTTTGGGACTTCGGTGAATATTCGCAGTCCGTGCATTCCTTGAATCTCGTCCTTGAGTGCCTGTGAAGCATGAAACATAACTCATGAGTGAAATTCAGGCAGTATAAATGTAAACATCAAGAAGTGTTCACGGAGGAATTCCTTAAAATCTCACAAGCAGTTTCAGCACAATTAATAAATAGCACAAAGATACAAAAAATTCATTAGAATAGTGGAAGTCTTGGATTAGCAATTGGTTTTGTCTACCACAGATAACATGCTGGGCTGAGGATTTACCTGGTTGACTAACTGGTGCTGCTGAACGGTCCTTTTTCCTTTGAACTCACTGGATTCTATGTGGACCTCGTACATGGCTCCACAGCCACCTAAACACAGCAGAAACAACACTGTTGTTCCCAAGCGTATGTTGTGACCATCTGGTTTCAACTAGAGCTGCAACTATACCATTAGAAATTCTAATAATAATAATAATAATAATAAACTTTATTTATATTCTGTTATTCTGTCAATTCTTCTCTTAAATAACTAAGAAGTTGTTTTTGGCGAATAAAATGTCAGAAAAATGTAAATAATTGACAACATTCTCAAATTGTCTTGTTTTGCCCACAACCCAAAGACTTTCAGGTCATTGTCAAATGAAAGTAAACAGAAAATATTTAACTTGAAGCAGCTGAAATCAGAGTTGTTTTTTCTTAAATTATTACTCAAATAGATTAATCAATAGGCTGCAAGGTGTCTCGGTGGTTAGCACCGTCGCCTCGCAGCAAGAAGGTCGCCGGTTCGCATCCCGGTGAGGACACCCGGGATCTTTCTGTGTGGAGTTTGCATGTTCTCCCCGTGCAGCGTGGGTTCTCTCCGGGTTCTTCCTCCCACAGTCCAGAAACATGCTGAGGTTAATTGGTGATTGTAAATTGTCCGTAGGTGTGAATGTGAGTGTGCTTGGTTGTCTGTCTCTAAGTGTAGCCCTGGCAGATTAAGTGGTGTATAGATAATCAATTTAATGGTTGACAATTAATCAATGCACGTGTGGGTTTTACACAAGTGATCAGGCTCAGAATGACTATAAGTTCTATGTTTTAAATGCACCGATCATCTGGACACACAAAAGCAATCTTGGGATAAACTATTTCATTCAGTGTAAACACAATAAGGGAAACGCTAGAACAAGCTTATACGAAATACTTTTATCAGGTTCACTGAAAGGAAAGCCCTCAGGGTGTTCTTTAAGTCCTAAAAGAGATATATATAATTGTGGTTTTTGATGTCATCCCCAAAAACGTGATATGGTGATCACGACCATGTAAATACAACCAGTCCTGTGTTTACCTGATATATCCACGACTTTGAGAGACGAGGCTAGCGGGAACTTCTCCTTCAGCACCTTTGCGATGCGGACCTCCCCGTCTGTTTGCGTGGACAGACATCTCGGCAGGTGGCCAGGAACAACAACAACCTGAGGAGGGAGAGCCGAGGAGGAGCGGCGAGTTTAGTCCAGTTTAACTGGCTGCTGCTAGCATGAAGCTACAGATCGACTGTGTTAAACTGCTGCGCAGCGACTCTTTAAAGTGTATTTACTTGATTCGTGCGAAGAACCCGGAGAGCAGAGATCATGGTGGTGGTCAGGCTCCGATTACAAGCAAACATTGTGACAACTGAGCATTGGTTTAATCACTGGACGTTTATAAAATAAAAAAATAACCCACACCGGTCGCTCAACAAGTCATGTCCTCAGACCGCTTCGTCCCGGGAATATGACGTCACACATCCGGGTTGTACAACGGTCGTTCGTCACAAAAACATAATCATAAATGAAAAATATAATAACTACTTAATTTTACATTACGTCGTTCGTAGCAAAACATAATAATAAAAAAATATATAAGAAATAATAATTATACCAACAAAAATTTAGCGAATAAATAAACATATACATTTATTAATAGCGTGCGTCAGTCCGTTTCGAGAAATGTGTTGCTAGATAACTATTTATTGTTGACAAAAACTAAGTTGTGTAAAACACTGTGGTTAAATTTTTAGAATTATATATTTTTTCACACTTGGTAAGTTCCCTGTTCAGAATTTCAAAAATATTAAGCAGCTCAGTAGCTCTAAACCAGGGGTTCTCAACCTTTGTGACCCCTAGGCCCAAGGTTCCCAGTACAAAGTGACCCGGAGCCCATTTTAATATGAACACCTTCATTTCAATTGAACAGAGTCTTGGTTTGATTTGAATTCAATAACTAAATCCAGTCCACTTACAGTTTAACAAGCTAAAACCTTGTAAAATAAATGATATGATAGCTGTAGACCATTTTCTTTTCTCCTGAAGAAATCCACCAGCTTCCCAACTAGCTTTGGATGTTTGATATTGAGATGTCGCCGTAGCTTTGAAGGCTTCAGTGCCTCGTTGGCTAGCGTTAACCCACACTCAACGCACTGGGCTCTCTGCTCTGCCTCGCTACCTCCGTTCACAAAACCAAACTTAATAACATTTGGGGTTGTACTTGCAGACAAATTTTGCCTTCGAGGAGGGGGTGGCATCACCTCCATCTTAATTTTTTCTTTTTAAAAACTTTTCCATAATTTCAATTAATTGTGGCTGGCTTCTGGGGGGTCCTGTGGCCCACACGGCCCACAGGTGCAGAACTGAAAGTTTTTCACGCCCCAGTAGGCAGCACTTGTGGCCCGATGATGGGCCGCGGCCCCATGGTTGACAATCACTGCTCTAAACGATTAGCACATGCTAATTTATTTTTTATATATATACCCTTTCCACCCTATAGGTCCCTTTCACCAGGACCAGGCTGTATTTGCTACTAAAGTTGCTCTCATTGACGACACCTGAGAATTTTAGAGAGATTTTTTAGTCGAGAGCTTAAGAGGTGATTTGTCCCAGTGAGTCATTTCAGCACAGTGAACACGCACCGCAGAGCTTTGTCACAGAAGGACACTTTGACATGTCACAGCAGGTGTTAATAGTAAAATTAATGATAGCTGAATTCCATTCCGCTGCTTCAGGGACGTACTGTGCTCACTGGCACGCCGTCATTACTTACTGAGTCACTCTCAATGTTATTAGTAACAAGTCAAAACTCCTGCCATGAAAACGGTCTGCTGATCTGTAAATTTATCATAATAATATCATGGTGACATTTTTATTAACCAATTTAAAAAAAAAAAAAACGTTTAAATATTTCATAAGGTGAAAGTAGTCTTTTACGTTGGTTCTGAACAAGATCATGCCTGTGGAACAGTTAAAGGCTTCTTTTTAAAGCTCATATTGACATTTTCATGGTAGGAGCAGATCTGAATGAGAGGCTTATCTCACTCTGCAGGTTGTGGAGCCCAGCAGCAATGGAGACAGAGGAGCAATCAGCGGCTGTTTACAGTCGGCTGTTAGCTCTTTTCACTACACGCCTGAGCTTTGTTTGTGCACAAGAATTATGGGCAGACACGAGGCTGGGTAGCCATCCAGGAAGCCGTCCCTGTCGGTGATATTGACGTCACCCCCCTTTAAAGGCAAGATGCTACCAGAGAGTCTGAACAGTGCACAAGTTCAGATATGAACAGAAACACGTTAACCACACTCACCTTGATGGTTTCCTTCCTCAGCTGGAGTTCTTGCGCTGAGGAGGATGCAGATGCTCTGTCCTGCCCAGAACACCAGGAGGGTTTCGACGGTTCTTGCTATGAGTTTGTGGGCCTGCAGCGATCTTTTCTTAGTGCCCAGGGATGGTGTGAGCAAGGCGGAGGACACCTGGCCTTCATCCTCAACGATGAAATGCAGCAGTTCCTTCAGAAGCACCTGCAGCCGGAGACGGACTGGTGGCTCGGGTTGGCACCTGCGGCTCCAAACCTCACGCTGGACTCTACTTCCACTGAGGGTGAGAGGACATACGGGAACTATGCGACCTCCAATAAGTCTATAGAGACTTTAACAGCATGAATTTGGGTGTTGTGGTATCGACCAGCTAGACAAAAAAGTATTAATTTTATTCATAATATGCAATAGCAAATTAATCTCTGTACAGTATCTTTCCCATGCTAACGTTTTAAGAACTTTACAACAAATTTGAGATTTCTGTGATCAGTGAACATTTTGAAAATTAAGTTTACATTTTCAGGAATAAAGACATTATCACCTCAGCTGCTATCTCATTAGGCAGCTTGCATGTGCATTGTAAAGAGCTGTGATGTATCTGTGCACTGACATTTACAGGGACGCTGGCACAATTGGATCCAGCAGCAGGTGTCATTAGAGATAATTCTCAGTCTTTTGAACTTGTCAATAAGCAGCTGTCAGGAGGCCTGATTTGCAAACGTGTCTTTATTTCCCTGCACAGAGAATGAGCATTGTTCATTCATCCTGTCTACCAGCTCAATCTATTGTTGTCTTGTTTATGATGCCCAAATTAAAAAATTAATTTACCAGAAAGACAAGATGTGAATATTAAGCGTTTTCTGCTGCACTTTTCTTAATGAGAAGAATTCAGAATATAATTTTGATCGATGAATCTGTGTCATTTTGTTGTCCTTTGCCCAGGTTCCCTTGCATGGTTGGACGGCTCAGATGTCAGCTATAATAACTGGGTGAACCTGCCGGATGCACAAGCAGCCTGCGGACACATCCTGAGACATTCAAGCTTTCAGTGGGAAGCCACAGGAAACTGTAGCCAGGAGCTCAACTTCATTTGCCAGTTTGGTACGCACTCCTGCATTAATCACTGTGCAGCATTAAACTCGTGTTGCTCACATAAGCATTGATTTTTTTCTCAGATTCTGGGAGATCTATCGCGTGCGATGGACAGAATGCCACGCTGCAGTGCGGTTCTGGTCACGTTATAGAGATTGACGACAGCTTCTACGGGCGAAAAACAATTCACTACTGCCGATCCCAACTGACGGCGTCGCCCACATCCTCCCAGGAGGAGTGCAGCTGGATAGATGTGGTAGATTCAGTAACAGGTATTGTGAATTATTTGAATATTTTTAAAACATAGCGCACATTTTTATGGTATACAAACATAATAGCAACTTTAATAAAAAAATAGATATGTACAGTAGATCTGGTTACTCCTCATTTACTGGACAAATTGTTTACTTAGCTTGTAATCAGATACTTTGATTGAAGTTTAAATACATATTTGTATTTACAGTAAATGCTGAGGGAGCATATTTGGCCTTGTCAAAGCCACTTAAACCAAGAGACAAGATAAAACATATTAAAACCACCGCGAACAATGTTTTTGTTTCATGCTTTGTGTCAAACACAAAAACCACGCTTGCCCTGTGACTGCAGACAAAAGGATTAAACTGCCAGGAAAGACATTAGTGAAATCCCCTCCTGTAAGCTGAATACATGGGCGGGGGTAAATATACATTCACATTCATATCGGTCTGGGATTAGTTACGCTGGAGGAGTTTGTGCAATTACTAAGCAAATAGTTGGTGTTTCTCCTTGTTAATGCGTCTCTTTAAAGAGCCGTTAGACGCTTTCATTCCAGGGTTATAGAGACATTAGTGAAATTATTTCAATTTAATGAACATTAAACAGTGGCATGCCGTTTAAACATACTGAAAGACATCATCGTATCATTCCAGCTCATTGCCACGGACGGCAGGCTTGCCAGGCTCCAGTGGATCTGAGCTCTTTCGGTGAACCGTGTCCTGTGCTGGGAAGTTACCTGTCTGTAGAGTACCGCTGCAAACTTGGTCAGATGCACAGTTTTTACTTTTTTATTTCCAATATACATTAACGTTTCCTCTCTAAGAAATAACGCTAATGAACAACATGACCTCAGCCCCATCAGTCACCATTAATTGCCTTGGATAGTTTCTTTGTGTAGGGTCTGAATACCTCAAAGTTGTGGCTGATTTCGTCAACCTTAGATCATGTTGTGTTTGTCTTGTGTTCCTTTTTGTATCCTTGACCTTTCAGCTTCGGTTCAGAACTTGTTCAGCTTCTTTAACTTGCTGCATTGCACCCATCAGTGTACATACAATAAACCATAAACAGAAAGCATGTTTTTAGTGACCCAGGATGTTGACCTTATCAATCCTGTGATTTCCTCTCAGGACTTCACTTGCTGATCAGTAAGCTGGCGGCCGTCTTTGATAACGTCACCATCACTGTGAAGTGGCTCCTTCATCCATTTCAGGGAAACTTAACGTGCACTCTGAACGCTGGAGATGGCCACACTATTGATCCATACAGCCCAGAGGAGTGAGCAAGACTTTGTGTTTAACCAGATACTGTAGAGGCATTTTGAATAGTATTAATACAACACAGCTTTCACTGGATCCTTCTCACAGGATGGAGAGCACAATCATACACAAGTTCAGCCATCCTGGTGTTTTCATGGTGGGAGTGGAGTGCACGACCAGCGACTGGCGTGTTGCAGCTCGGAAAGCAATAACCATCCAGGAGCCTGTTGGAGAGTTTAGTGTCATCAGGTGTTATAGCAGGAACATGTCAACAGAGGGCGCTAAGTGTAATGCACTTTATGGCCCCCCTGTTCAAATCCAGCTCACGGTCGAGGCAGGTGAGTCCATCCAACACTTTGGGGGATTCATTAGTGCTTCTAATAAGACATTTCTCAAACAATACTAACTAATTAATTTTCTTTAGGTACAAATGTTTCCTACACTATTCATCGCGAAGCCCATTTGGTTGCAAACTCATCAGTGAAGAAAGGGAACACACCCCACAACATCACACTGAATGCCAGCGTGGTGGAGCAGCTTGGACGCGGCTGCCATAATCTGACCGTGGCTGCATCCAACAGGGTCACAACCAGCACGGTGTCCACCGACCTGGAGCTGTGTCTGCTGGAGCCGATCGAAGGCCTGCAGGCCTCCGTGATAACGGAGAAGGACACGTGTCCAGATTCCACCGATCTCGTCATCGGTGTCTTGTTGGAGCGAGGAGCACCTGCAGAGCTGCTCTTCACTCTCACTGGAGCCAAGGACACACTGTCTGAGCCCAGAGACTTGCACAATGACAGCTTACAAGCGTATACATTCTCCAGCCCACTTGAAGGTACTTAAAGTTAAGCCACACTGTTATTGAAACAGAACAGGGATCCATAATGTGCAGCGTATGTGCTTTTCTCTTCAAAGGATCTTTTAGGGTGAATGTACGAGCCGTGAATGCCTTTTCATCCTCTGATGTGGACGTGGACTTGGGCAGCATACTTGAAGCTTGCCAGAATTACTCTGACTTTTCACCAGACAGTGAAGAAAATACAGTATGTAGAATATTGGTGTTAACTAATGTTGACTTCTGAAACGTGTTTTGCATAATAGTCTTGTGGATTAATCGTAGCAACTGGACTTGCTTGAGTTCCTTGAAGACGTTCCACCTCTCATCCAAGAGGCTTCATCAGTTCTGACTGACTAGTTGGGAGTTCCAGATATCCTGAAGGATCCATTAACACCTGAGTACATCCTCAAGGAACTCAAGCAAGTCCAGTTGCTACCATTAATCCACAAGAACAACCATGACCTGGATGACCGAGAATCTTCACAGACATTTTGCATAATATTAAATTCTTGATATGTACAGAAATCCGTTTGTTGCTATTACAGTGAAATGACCTCGTTTTCATCTACAGGTGGGTAACGTGAGCGTCGACGACTCTGCTGACTTAAAAATAATTTCTACTCCCGACGTTTTGGTCGACTACAATCAGAGCGTCACGCTGACAGTAAATGGAACTGAATCATTACCCGTCAGAGGACTTGCATTTGAGTGGAAATGTAGTAAGTACGATGATCACTCAATACCCCTCATTTGAAATTATTTGTAATAGTTGAAATTATTATATTAATACGTGTTTGGAACACAGGCTATGTAATTCAAAAGCTCTGTAAAACAGGAAAGCTAATAGTCTTCAGCTTTTACACGTAATTTTCTGGTTTTGATACCACTCATGACGCGGCATTTACATGGGTCACCTGGTAATTCAGACCAGTCAGTATCATCCAGGCTTCTCTGTCAAGTGTCATCATTCATTCATGTCATCATTCATCCATGTTATCATTCGGTTTGTTAAGGCGAAGTTAAGACTGTGCCGACATCGCAGGGAATAATCAGAACCCTGGACAGGATGTTTACGTGTCACCCTGGTTTTATTCATGTGCTCCAACTGGCATGCTCTGGTTTAGGAGGCTTATGCAGGTTTTTGAATCGAGGATAGGATGTTTAAATGTGAAAACCCATGACTGGGATAATCCAGAAACTAACGTGTCGAGTCAACTTTATGGTATAGGACTGAAGATGATGCAATGTGCTGTATAAAAAAATGATCTCCATACAACAGCAGCACTGTAGTCTTATAAATCCTGATGTGGTTCTGTGTTAACATCCTGTTTCTGCTCCTGTCCTCACAGGAGGAGACTGCAAATGCACAAACAAAACAAACGAGGAAACTCATGTGATTGAAAAAGACTGCCTTCCAAACCCGTTCGAAATGTTCAAATACGCGTTAACTGTGAGGAAAAAGACTTGGTTTAGGAAATGGGTTGGTATCGCTTCAGCTTCCAAGTGCATCACCGTCGCTCCTTCGACAGAATTAACAGACGTCACCATCAGGTAAAAGGCTTGTATGTAGAGTAAAACCCTCTGATTAGGTTTTAAAAATACTGCTTGCTGAGAAAATTTAATTCCCAAATTAGAGATATTGAACCTTTAACCTTATAAGTCCAAAATTTTGTGTTTTAGCGACAAAACAATGAAATTAGGAGCCACAACCCGCCATAAAGAGTACTTTTATTGGAATATATCAGAGTTATATAATTACGTAGTTATATATTTACTTTTGTTCTTACAGTTGTGATGATTGTGCTTCGATAAACGTGAACGACAACGTGAAGCTCAAGCTGGTCTGTGCGACAACTTGCCCAGACGTAGTTTGGCATATGGAAGACCCCAAACCTTTAGAAGTAAGTCTGAAACAACAGTTAAGTACATTTTTAAAATGTCAAATAAGAGATTTATGTGTTAAATTAACCAATGATCTTCCTGCAGGGTAAATTCAGGAGATGTTACTCCAAAGCAGGAAGAAGGCCGCCTATAGAGAAGCAGGAAGGCGCCACTGAATATACTGTACGCAGTCAATATCTAAAGGTGTCGAGGGACGCGCTGCACAACATCACTGTGATCGCTTATGGTGCGTCTCCATCCCGTAGTCTGGCACTGAGTTAGAATTAAGAAGCGTTTGGGGCGAGAATTACAATATTCAAGAGGCCGATTTGCTGATTTGGTTGTTTTCGTTAATACAGGCAAGAATGTCCCCGGGTTTGTCACGTACACTCTGCCGATACCGGGACCGGAGCCAACTGAGCCACCTGCAGCGACAACTGATGCGCCCACGAACCCCTCATGCAGCATCTCACCACCGTCAGGAACTGTGCTTGATGCTTTTGACATTAGCTGCAAAGAAACCTCATTCTGCTCTACAGGCTGTAATTATTGCTTCAAGACCAGTACAGGTGATTATAGATTACACTGCCGTTCAGTATGTGCTGTATAAATATAATAAGAAGGATAAATAAAGCAGGAGGTGAGGAGAATGTAGCTCAATGTTTCTCTGGTGTTAGACGGGTTTGAGGTTCATAAGGCAACAGGTTGCTTCAGCAGCTCAGAGGTTGTTTGGGTCCATTTTTAGGCCAGTGGCTTGGATAAGCTTCCAAAAATAAGAAATATTTCTTAATTTGTGGGTTAAAAGACAGTAAGCCCCTGATATTCACACAAAAACAAAGTCCAGCAAGTCAATCTGTTGCTCTGACTACCTGTGATTAACATCAATGCTGTGGAAGACTGCATGTAGATCAGTAATTAAGTACAACTGCACTAAACTATGTCTTTTGTCTTTAAGGCAAACATCTGCGCTGCACTAATACAAATGAAGTCAAATCTGTCTTCCTGCCTCTCGGAGATAAGAAAAACAACTACAGTTTGTCTGTTGTTGTGACTGTGAAAAACGAACATAAGGAAGTCACCACAACTGTGGCCACGCAGGTTTGTCATCAGCCAGTTGTTATGTATCTTAGAGCAAAACGGCGGATTAGAGAAATCAGCTCTCTGGATTAAATAATTCAATAATCAGATTCATTTTCTGTCTTCCTCGAGGTCCGGACAAATAACTCCAGTGCCTCCGTTCAGACTCTCCAGTCTGCAGTGGAGGATAGTGTGAGTCAGTTAGAGCAGCAAGGTCTGCTCTCCGGCGAGGCGATCGGACAGATATTTACTTCCGTTTCTGATATACTGAATACAGAAGCAGGCCAAGATCAGAAGGATGCGAGGTCAAAGGTAACTGTAGAGGCTGATGTGCTACAACTTGTCAGTGGAAAGAACCATGATGTTAATCAGCACTTCTTTTTTTTTTTTCCCAGCTCAGAGAGCAAATGCTGACCAAAATGACTGCAGTGCTGCTGGACTCCCCCAGCAACACAACTCAGGAAGTACAAGTGACAGCCAGAGCTGTGGCCGGACTCACGCTGCGCTCAGATGAGCTCAGTCCTGCTGCTCAAGTGCGTTAGTTCAGTTCAACACCATCAAATATATGTCCAAGTTATATTTGATGAAAAATTTCCATTTATTTTCAGCAAATACGTAAGAAAATTCAGCACAGGCAGCCTCTTGTAGCTACACCTGATGCAAATTTGCAGTAATTAGAATTATTAAACTTAACTGTTTCGTATAATCGGGCTGCACGGTGGCTCGGTGGTTAGCACCGTCACCTCGCAGCAAGAAGGTCGCCAGTGGGTTGCCCGTGCAGCGTGGGTTCTCTCCCTGTGATAGACTGGTTACCTGTTCAGGTGAACCTGCCTTCACCCTGAGTCAGCTGGGATAGACTCCAGGCCCCCATGACCCTAGTGAGGATTAAGGTGTAGAGATGATGGATGGATGTTTCCTATAGTCTACATATTTTAGGAAAATACTCATCACAACATTTATTTACCACAGTATAAAAGTCTATGATGAATACCAACAAATATTTTACACATATTCTTTCTTGGACCCCGAAAGACCTTCTACGTATGGCTACATGAAAGTCCTGAGTGGGGTTAAAGCTGTTCTAAATCTGAGCTAAAGTGACAAAACAACAAATCAAGGAAAGAATGCTTTGTATTAAGCAAATCTCTGAGTATGGACGATTAAGAGCTTTATCCCTGTTCAGGATGTCAGGCTGAAATATCGTCAACTACCTGTTTCAATCTGAAACATTTATACTTAAAATGAACTAAAATTTTCCGTCTTAGTCCAACACATGTTCATCAGCTCATTTAAAAATTGGACACTAATCATCTCTGTTGTTTTAATTTCTGTATTTCCTCTCCAGGAAGAAGCAGGCTCCTTGTTGGTAGACCTCAGCTCCTCCCTCAACGCTATCAGCGTTAATCAGCACAGCAGGGAAGATGAGCAAGTTGTGCAAGCAGCTGCACCAATAGTCGAAGCAGCCAGTAATATTTTGAATATTTCATCAAACGTGAGGACGAAACTATCACCAATATTGCTAATTGTCATTTCTCAGTTGTGTCGTCTTTACTAAACAGTTTGTGGTTTGTTCTCCTCAGAAAAAAGTCTCAGATTTTCTTCTGACTGGGATAAACAACGTTCAGAGCGCTCTGCTGAGTAATAAAAATCTGAATGGAGAGCCTGCCATTATCGACTCTGGTCAGATCAGTGTGTACGTGAACAGGTAGGAGATGAACTAGAACATGCAGTCAAGCAGAAAGTAGAGTTTTCTGAAATTAATGGGATGCATCTGATTCCATCTGCTGCAGAATATCTCCACACACCATGCAAATGAAGGACATAAATGTGCAGAAGAACAGCTCCTCCAGGTTTTCCTTCCCCTCACTGCCTGCTCATATCGTCTCTCCAGAGGAGCCGGTGGACGTCAGAGTGAGTGTGTGCACATTCATTTGAATTAGTTTGAATTTAAACCTGCCAGCACACTCTGAAGGTCGTTATCATGCTGTATGTGGGGCTGCTTCTGAGTGTAATCTGCATTAATCCGGCCAGTTTTAGAAACAAGTTATAATTTCAGTAATAAAAAAAAAAAAGCAAACCATTTTTTGTTTTTTTATCACTTGTACATAACCGCAAATACACAATTTATTCGTAATTAGACCGCCTTGACTTGAGCATTTGCCCTCTCTCTTTGGTTCAAACATGTAATTTAAATAATGTTCAAAATAATAAGGGAGAAGACGCAACGTTTCTGTTCTAACATGAAAAGCCTGAACCATGATGTCAGCAAAAAACTGAGGCAAATTAGATCAGACTCAGCCTACTGCCCCTAAACTCATCTGTTTTTTATCTGTTCCTAATATGTCTCTACCTCTTAGATGATGAGTTTTGAGAAGAATCCATATTCCTGGAGGGACCAAAACATCACAGGAGCTGTAGGATCCGTGTCTCTCACCAGAGCCAACGGCAGCGTCATTCCCGTTGAGAATTTACCTGAAGAGATAGAGGTAACATCGTGTAAGTTACTCCGCTTTAGGCAACACTTTTGGAGTCTAAATTAGCGTCTTATCTTGACTTTCAGATCCTCCTACCGAGGCTCGACGTCGGGCAGGAGAACAGCACAGTGCTGGACCTCGCCAATTTCAGCACATTAATAATTGACGTCCCCTCGCCGGATGTAACGCTGGTGCTGAAAATGGAGCCATCTGAAGACATTTCCTTCATGCTATTCCTGGGATACAAAGATTATCCAAATGATGAGAATTACGTAGCCAAGACTCAGATCCCCCTGGAGAACGCAAAAGAAGGTCTATATTTAAACCAGCAGATTCGCTTTTGTAGAACACATGTTAGAATATCGTTTCCTGGCGCCTCAGGTGTAGTTCAGTTTCATCACCATCATCATCACATCACGCCAGACTTCTGTAATGCATTCACTGTCAGCTGCTAATTCATCTTCTGTGGAGTTTTATATCTTTTTTGGGGGGTAATGATGTCTGTCAGTTTTCACAAATGCAAGAAAATGCTCCCACAAGAACAACAAACACATAAAGTAATGAAGATAAAGTCAGGTTTTCAGACAGATAGCGCCCCAAATAACTGAACATCCTGTGTCTGTTGTGACCGGTGTGTGTCTGTGACTATAAACTGTCAAGTGCATTAACAAAACAATGACAGAATTACATATATATGTCTGCATATGGGGCTGCAGGATGGCTCAATGGTTAGCACCGTTGCCTCACAGCAAGAAGGTCGTCGGTTCATGTCCCAATGAGGACACTCAGGATCTTTCTGCGTGGAGTCTCCATGTTCTCCCCGTGCAGCGTGGGTTCTCTCCGGGATCTCCGGCTTCCTCCCAAAAACACGCTGAAGTTAATTGGTGATTGTAAATTGTCCGTAGGTGTGAATGTGAGTGTGCTTGGTTGTCTGTCTCTAAGTGTAGCCCTGTGATAGACTGGTTACCTGTCCAGGTGAACCTGCCTTCACCCTGAGTCAGCTGGGATAGACTCCAGCCCCCCATGACCCTAGTGAGGATTAAGGTGTAGAGATAATGGATGGATGGAGGTCTGCATTTGCAATATAAGCATGTGTGTCATTCTAACACAGAGGAGAAGTTCACCTGGGTGCTGAGTCCCAAAGACAGAACAGGAGATGCTGGAGTGCACTACCTCGTTATGAAGCCCATCGTGGAGCCGGGCGTCAGATCCGTCAACGCCACTGTCACTGTTGTTTCCATCGCCGCCCAGTGCAAATACTGGAACGAAACTGAGTCTTCGTGGAGTGAAGACGGCTGCAGGGTGGGTGAGAAAGTACCACACATCCAGTACGACTGCATTAAAGCATCCTCGAGACACCAGCTGTGAAGCTTTTCTTTCTTCCTACAGGTTGGTCCGCTCACCACTCACCTGGTCACCCAGTGCCTCTGTAACCACTTGACTTTCTTCGGCAGCTCGTTCTTTGTCATGCCGAACTTGGTGGACGTGTCCCGCACCGCTGAGCTTTTTGCTACGTTCACCAACAACCCTGTGGTGGTGTGTTTTGTTGGGGCCATTTTTGCTGCTTACCTCGTGGTGGTTATATGGGCGCGCAGGAAAGACATCCAGGACTCAGCCAAGGTGAAGACTTTTACCATATTTTGTCGTTGGTTCTGACAGTCTCATTCTAGCTTCCCTGCTCACACATCTGATATTAAATTCTCAAAGTAGTGGCAAAACAGCAGAAAACACCATTAAAACCACTTACTGTACTGAGTAAACTGCCCTGAATCAACCCAACTGTTGACCTGCGTGTCATTGGCTCATTACTTTTATAGCCGAAGATGAAATCTTTAATACTCACTTTATGCCACTGAATCCACCAATTGCCTGACTGTTGTGTGTTTGCATTCCTTTGCAGGTCAAGATAACAGTTCTTGAGGACAACGACCCCTTGGCTGAGTATCGTTATATGCTGAATATTAGCACAGGGCACCGCCATGGCGCATCTACGTCTTCTCAGGTCATTAAAGTTTAGAGGGACTCACATAGAACTTAGCTTGATGTTTCTGTTGGAAAAACTTTATGATGTTGACACCATGTTTTTTAGGTGACCATAACTCTGCTGGGTACAGAGGGAGAAAGTGAGCCCCACCACCTGACGGACTCCGAGAAGCCCGTGTTTGAGAGGGGCGGGGTGGACATGTTTCTGCTGACCACACACTTTTCTCTCGGAGATCTGCAGAGCATAAGACTGTGGCACGACAACTCAGGAGAACACCCTGCATGGTGTGACTCACAGGGCAAAAAGATAAAGTCTGTGGTATTATTGTGAGCACAGTAGATAATTATTTATGTCGTGTGCAGGTACGTCAACAAAGTGATGGTGCAGGATCTGGAGACCGGTCAGAAATGGCACTTTCTGTGTAACTCCTGGCTGGCTGTAGATGTGGCAGAGTGCACTCTAGACAAGGTCTTTCCAGTAGCAACGGAGACGGATTTGAAGCGATTCAGGTGCCATGGATACACATTAAGAGGAAATTGAGTTGAGCATCTATCATTGTCGATTACTTTTTTTTGACACCAACTTGCTTTAACTGCTGTTCTTCAAAACTTTTCAGCAATCTGTTCTTCATGAAGACAGCCAAGGATTTCCGGGATGGCCACATCTGGTTCTCTGTGATCAGTCGGCCTCCGTGCAGCACTTTCACACGTGTGCAGCGAGTGTCCTGCTGTTTCTCCCTGCTGCTCTGCACCATGTTGACCAGCATCATGTTTTGGGGAATCCCTACAGACCCCTCTGAGCAGACCATGGACCTCGGTAGGCAGCAGAATATAAACCATCTAAAGGTTTTCAACAACTGAAAATCTGACAGCAAGGGTGACAGAAAAAAATATGTTTAAAAAAAAAAGCACATTAAAAAAATAAATAATACAGAAAAGTTAGTGTACGTACCTCAATACAGTTTATAGCAAATATTAGACAGGTGAAGCCTTTGCTTACCCAAGTAATTATTGTGATCTCATAAAAAATAAGAATAATCTGCAGCAGGTAAAGCTTAACTGTGTCATTAGTGCCGAGAGTCTGATGTATCTGTAGATGTGCATTGTTGTATCCAGAATACGTAAATCCCAAAGTCACAAAAAGATCAGCTTGCTTGTAAAGGAGCAGTCCTTTAAAGTGAAGCTTTCCTTTGCAGGTCACATCGAGTTCACCTGGCAGCAGGTCATGATCGGAATTCAAAGTTCAATCATCATGTTTCCCATCAATCTCCTCATCGTGAGCATCTTCAGAAACACTCGTCCTCGAGAGAAAACCAGCAAAACAGAAGCATCGAAACAGGGCAAGACCGTTCGAGTGTCTCCCTCGCAGACTTCGTCCCCTCAGAAGGAGCAGAAGGACATCACGCCAGACACAGTGATCAAGGTGAAGTCTCGGGCGGTGACCTTATCACAGCTTCAAAGTAAGAACTGCTCTGTCCTCAGTGTCTGAAGATCTTGATGTGGTTTCTACATTAGGACATAAAGAGGATCGCTCAGTCACTCTCAAAGGCCATGAAGAGTCCGCTGCCACATCTGGAGCTCCATCCTGGTCAGCCGGCTGACATCAACACTCTGCTGTCTCTGGTGGAGGACATCATCAGACAGCAGAACCGAGCGGCTGGAGACTTCTACACCGACGCCTCCAAGAAGGATCGCGCTATGATCCTCAGCTTAGGTGCAGTGAATCTACAAGGTAAACAGCACCGTGACCTTTACAGTCCTCTTGGCTTCACCTGTTTCCGATCTTTACTGTGTTTATCTGAAAATACACACCATCATTTTAGCTTGTTTCTGTCTGTTTGCCCCACAGAAGACAGCATGTGGGGAAGCCCCGAGAAGACGTCGGATGAAGCTCAGAAGAAGAGCAACAACAGCCGCTACCTGTACAGGCAGCTGCGTCATGTTGAGAAGGAGCTCGGTCTGCTCGGGTCGTCTCGTTTTCCAAACCCGGACAGCTTTCGCCGGGCCATGCAGCAAGTTCAGGGAATGAAGGGTCTCCTGGAGTTCCACCTGCCCTCGTCCAGCCTGGACGGAGACAACCGCAGCCCCAGTCCTGAGGAGAGCATCGCTGAAAGCACTAACAAGAAGTGCTGCCAAGGAGGGCTGCCCTGGTGGTTTGTGTTTGTTGGCTGGATCCTGGTGATTGCAACCAGCGGTGTGTCGGGGTACTTCACGATGATGTACGGGCTGACGTACGGCAAAGAGCGCTCCATCAGCTGGCTCATTTCCATGGTGGTCTCCTTCTTTGAGAGTCTCTTTATCACCCAACCTCTCAAGGTGAGAAACAGAATGTACAGCATCAACATGCTTAAAAAGGGATTTATTAATTGATGGAAGGTAGAGAGTTTCCCACCAACATCCAGTTTTTGTGTTTAAATATTATAAAAATGCCTGATGTATAAGCTGATATATGATATTCATGCAGATGCATCAATGATATATTTCATTCAGCACACAAGCCAGCTTTAAATGAAGGATTCTTTGTTTGCAGTTTGATCATTGTTCTGTTTTTTTTTCTGATAAATTGTGCATACCATCAACTCAGCTGACAGGCGACAACAGTCCTTGCTATGTCCCATTTAGGTAACAACAAGGCACCACAGAGCAAACTGACTGATAGTAATATTTAGTAGTGTATTTAGATAACACCTCATACTAGCTCATAAAGGATAATAATAATAAAGAGAACATATCTGCCACTCCCCCGCCACCACCGATGGTGGAAACAGAAGTGTGAGCGCTAACTAAACTAGCATCAGCAGCCAAGTACTGCCTGTGTGTTCTGGACACTTCCACCCCGGGGCAACGCTCTGACGGGGTGGAAGTGGCCGGAACGTGCACAAGCGCACCGCTCAATTAGGCTGAAATCCAGCGATGCGTAGTGTTCTAACAACACACTAGTTATTACAACAACTACAGACAATAAATATTAACAACAAATGAGCCTTCCAGCATCAAGCCCTCCTTGTATCTGGACCTCCGTCTTGACAATCCAACAGCCTTGCTACCCGACATGAAAGAAGGTTTTACATTTAGTGTCGGATTATCGAGTCACGACTGTATTTATAATATAATGATCATTATGAAGTGTTCTGGTTCTGACATCTGAAAATCTTCTGTCACAGGTTCTTGGTTTTGCAACTTTTTTCGCTCTTGTTCTGAAGAAAGTCGACCAGGAGGAATACGGAGAGCCTCAGATAGACGAGAGTCTCAGAAATCCAGGCACAGTTTTGTTTTTTTTGCAATGTTTTGTGCAAAAAAAAAAAAAATCCATTAACTCTAATAGCCTGATGCTTAATTCCTCCCTCAGATGACCCTGATGCGATGCGAGCAGCCAGAAGAGACAGCACATGCAGTTTCTATCAACCACCGCCTCCTACAGACATCGAGAGGATGCAGAGCAACATGATCAAGGAGCAGAAAGTCTTTGCCCTCATAACGGAGATTCTCGGTAGGAGAAACAATTAATAGAAGAAATGCAATAAAGTTGGACATGCTGATATAAGATGTGTTTGTTTGTGCTGCAGCCTACATGGGGTTTATGTGGATGCTGCTCCTGGTGGCTTATGGTCAGAGGGACCCCAACGCTTACTTTCTGACCCAACACATCCGCCAGAGCTTCAGCAAAGGGATCTCAGACACCATGAGCATTCAGGACGTGTTCGGCTGGGCAAACACCACTCTGCTGAGCAACCTGTTTGGAGAGTATCCAGGTGAGCACTCTGTGGAGCTACTAACCGAAGCATCAGGCTGCATTTCATGAATCCTCTCACAACTTTTTGTCTGTTTATTACAAAATGGAAAATACATAAAGACATGTTCATCATTTTGATTTTAGAGAGTTAGAATTATTTTAATTTTGGCTTCAGTTGCTTCGTGGTAACTTGTATTTTCAAGCTCATTATATTTGCTGTTTTTGGATATACTAGTTATTTTCCATTTAATTAAAACCAACAACAAATTCAGTTTCAAAAACATCGACAAATTGGAATCCGACAATAATACAACAAGAATAAAAAGTATATTATTTTAAAGGACTTGTGAGAATTTTATCTTAAAACATCTCTGTATGACCAAACTCTTGTACTTATACATGTATCATGGATATCATATCGCCAGCCATGATGGTTTCCATTTCCTTTGAAAATGTCTTGACATCCAGCTGTACAGATTCATTAAGGCCTAGCATCGCTCAGAATATCTGAGTCTTGATCAAAATTCATATTTATTTGGACCGACTGCAACAAATGAAATATTTTATCTGCAAGATGTGCTTTTAAAGACACAAAATAATCCCTCAGCCTTCCTCTGTCGTGCCTGTTTTTGCTTTCTGAAAATCCGCCGCAGGATTCATCACCGACGGAAACTCGAAGCTGGTCGGTAACGCTCGCCTCCGCCAGGTGAGGGTGCAGAAAAACTCCTGCCACGTCGCTCGCTCCATGCAGCGGTCTGTGCCCGACTGCCACGCTCTGTACTCGTGGGAGTTGGAGGACATGGGCTCCTACGGTCCGGGATGGAGTCTCTCCGCGGGCGATAACGCCTCGGTTAACAGCCCCTGGACGTACAAGTCTCAGGGCAAGCTGAGGGCCTACCCCGTCTGGGGCAGCGTGATGCTCTACAGAGGAGGAGGGTTTGTGGTGGATCTGGGGCCGGACTTGCAAAACTCCAGCGGGTAGAGATTTTAATTCCTACAGAAATTAACTGATAGAAATGTCTGTAGCACTAAAATGATTAATCACTTGACTGGAGTCCTTCAGATAAGTTGGTGTCGACCCTCTTCTGGATAACAGCTAATGGATGGATGGATGGAATTTAGACAAGTCATCAAACAAAAATGACAACACAGCTGTAGCGCCTACAAATAACTTTAATTTTGTACTGGACCTTTAATGGCATCCTCTTGCCTTTAGGAAATAGTGATGGATAGTTTCCTTTTTTTATGGATTATTTGATGTTATTTGGCAGAGTAACACATTATGAGCAGAATCATTTTATCATTGGTGAGTGTCAGCAATCAGGAGACGTTGCCTCAGTCTCGAGGAATATGCAAATGATATTTGTCCTTAAGCTCTGACAGATAAGAAGAAGACATCATAACTCGAGAATTCAAAACAGTTTGCACACTGGCTCTTCAAAAACTGTTTGGTACTCTCTGTTCAGATTTGTAAATGTTGTTTTGTATGCTTTACTTTTTGTGTTGCTGTGGTGCTTGTGAAATTAGTGATGCTTATTCCTAATTTTCATGCCTGTAGGGTGTTTCAGTGCAAGTCTAAAGTCTGAAAAAAGATCTAACAGTGTGTAAAGGACAATCTGAGAAAGTTAAAGGACGTTTTAAAGCTTAATGAACAAGTGAAAGGTCTCTGCCTAACATGTCGATTGTATTCTTTATCCATTTCCCTGTAGGATCCTTCAGTACCTTTACGACAACACCTGGTTTGACGCGTACACCCAGGCCATCTTCGTTGAGTTCACCGTGTACAACGCCAACGTCAACCTCTTCTGCATTGTTACGCTCATGCTGGAGACCACAGCCATAGGTGTGTAGTCCAGGTACAGACAGTGTGTGTGAGAAACTCTTATAAAAAAAAACGAGCTTATCTGTGTTTCTTCCAGGGGCTTTCCAGTTCCGCAGCGAGCTTCAGAGTGTTCGTCTATACCAGTCGACCGGCGGCCTTCACATCTTTGTCATGGCTTCTGAGGCCATCTACTTCCTCTTTATCATTTATTACATGGTCGTTCAGGTGCGCAGTTATTGTCCCGACTTTACTACCGTTGCAAGTAATGGTGTGTCATAAAGTGGATCACCTGATCACCTGACGCAGGCTCCTCTGGTTTATTGACAGGGGAAGCTGATGAGGAAACAGAAGTGGGCTTACTTCCAGAGCAAGTGGAACCTTCTGGAGTTGGCCATCATCATTCTGAGCTGGAGCGCGTGTTCTGTCTTCATCAAGAGGACGTTACTGGGGAATAGAGATATGAACTATTACCAGAACAACAAAGACCAGTAAGCAGCAAGAAAAGCACAACCCAGACGGATACATAGCCGGAGATACTATCTGTAGATGATGAACAACAACTTTCATTTGTTTACTGTGTGCATTTCCTGCACATCCTAGATGCTCTGCACAAAGCAATAGCTACAGTCGACCTCAAACTTCATTCCATTGAAGAAAAGGCAAAATTCATGGTAGTCACTCAAATAACTAGAAACTGGAAAAAGTAATAATAAATAAAAATTTGCTAAATTATAATTTTGTGAAATGAGAGCTGTTGAGTTGTGGTTGAAAACAATAATTAAATAATTAAATAAATAAATAGTCCTGGACAAATTAGAGCACTTTGCTGATGAGCAGTGAAATCAGAATACCTGTCAACAGGTGCAGAAGTCTGACTGAGAGTTACAGAAAACACCTGATTTTCTCAAAGGGTTGTTCAACTGTTCAATATTAGTTTATGGGTCCCATCATGCTTGTTGCTTTCTAAAAAAAAAATATTTCTGTTAAACCACAATTCAAAAGTAACGTCATGATTTTCATTAAAATTTTGTTTATTATTACTTTTGGCAATTTAAACTTATTTCAGCTGTTTTTTTTTTTCCTTCTTTAACGGGAGGTTATGAATACATTTGAGGACAACTGTATTATATATATATTTTTTATTTTGTTCTGAAAATAGGAGCACTTATTGACATAAACCTTGGCTGATTTGGGTTGATACAGAACATTTGTGAAGGCTGATATTTTGCTCACACCAAATCAGACAACATCTACTTTGGAAAAAAATGACAGTTAATGACAAATTGCTAAAATGATTTGAAAAATAGACTGAAGAGTCAGTGCAACTCACGGTTCAACCTTGGAAAAGTTTACTTTTGAAAATGAATGTGTACACAGACCGCATTTTTAATTACATTTCAACTTAATTAACAGGAAAACGTGACCAACCTGATCTATTCAAAACCTGCCTTATTTCTGTTAATAAGCTCGAGAGAAAATAACAAAACTGAGATTTTTATATTGAGAGCATATTTTCTGCTCGTACATCCATTTTCTGCATCTCACATCAATCTGTGATGAGAAATTATACATTTTGATTTAAGCTGAGGGCTGTAAGGTGGCCCGGTGGTTAGCACCGTGGCCTCACAGCTAGAAGGTCGCCGGTTCACGTCCCGGTGAGGACACCCGGGATCTTCCTGCGTGGAGTCTCCATGTTCTCCCCGTGCAGCGTGGGTTCTCTCCGGGTTCTCCGGCTTCCTCCCACAGTCCACAAACATGCTGAGGTTAATTGGTGATTCTAAATTGTCCGTAGGTGTGAATGTGAGTGTGCTTGGTTGTCTGTCTCTAAGTGTAGCCCTGTGATAGACTGGTGACCTGTCCAGGTGAACCTGCCTTCACTCTGAGTCAGCTGGGATAGACTCCAGCCCCCCACGACCCTAGTGAGGATTAAGGTGTAGAGATGATGGATGGATGGATTTATGTTGAATTCAGTAAAACACATCCATTTGTACTGTTACAAAATGCTCTAATGGACATTTTTCCACTATGCTGCTATAACAAGGCTCTGTCCTCTCGTGCTCTGTGTCCAGATACGCCAGTTTCCATGAGACAGCCAAGGCCGACGCCGTGCTCGGGTATCTGATTGCCTTCCTGGTACTGCTGGCTACGGTCAAACTGTGGCACCTGCTGAGACTGAACCCCAAGCTGCACATGATCACAGCCACGCTGCAGCGAGCCTGGACTGATATTTCAGGCTTCCTGGTGGTCATGACCATCATGTTCCTGGCCTATTCCATTGCTGTGAGGAGTTTCCCACAGTTAATACCAACATGCTGCTGGAGTCTTTGCATCTCTTTGTGTCTTGTCTGTACTTTCATGGTGATTAACTGTTTCTGTTTCAGTCTAACCTGATGTACGGGTGGAAGCTGTACTCCTATCGTACTCTGCTCGACGCTGCACAGACCATGGTCAGCTTGCAGCTCGGTATTTTTAACTATGAAGAGGTCAGTGTGAGGCTAACATAACTGTACCACGGCAGGTCACAACAGCCGACCCTTCTTCATGTATCCTTTTATCTCTTCCTGCTGATCTCTCAGGTTCTGAATTATAACCCGGTGCTCGGTGCGTTCCTCATCGGCTCCTGCATCGTGTTCATGACCTTCGTGGTGCTGAACCTCTTCATCTCCGTCATTCTGGTGGCGTTCAGTCAAGAGCAGATCCATCACAAGGTAACTCAGCCAGGCTCAGTGTGACAAGTCAGAATGCTGCTGATGTCAATGTCCAGTTATTATTTCAGCCGACTGTCACCACTATCTGAACATTTATCCAACACATGCTGCAGAAGATGTGACATCCTACCACTTCAGAAGCAGATGACTCGATAGTTCTAATGTTCACTGTTCCTACAGCCATCGGAAGAGGACGAGATCGTGGACCTGATGCTGATGAAACTCTGCAGTCTGTTTGGACTCAAATGTAAGAAGCGAGAGGCCGACGTCCTGACTGAGAGGCCGGCTGTTTCATCTGCTCCGAACAACAGACTCTCTACGATTTCTTCTGGAAACGACGGATGACGTGTCACACTTTAGTCACATCGAGGCTTCGCTTCAGTCATCGCTTCCAGTAGCTTTAGCTTCACCTTGTCGCTTTGTGACTGAATGTTAGCGAGTCTATAAATTATTAGCCTTCGTCTTTGCTGCTGGAGATTTGTCACCTGTGTGCGATAAGCTGATAGTACAAACTGAGGAAATTATGCAACAAGGCGTTGTATTTAGGATGCAGTATATTTTGTTTAATAAATGTGTGTTTCCGTGACTTAAATCTTAAGCTTATGTTACATAAAATCGGTATTCCTGAACCTCATAAAAACGGTTCAGATTCAGCTGTAATGTAATGCACTAACCAGTCGTAGATAGCAGCACATTCATTAACATGTTAAATTTAGGTAAACGTTGGGTAAGAACAAAGAAGCAGCCAAGTAACATTCAATGCAGCGATTATAGCATATGATTTATTACAGTTATTAAATATGAAACAAGGCCAAGGTTGCTCCAAGGGAATGATAACAAAATGTGAGAGGACAAACATTAAAGATTAAATCGAACTGATAAAAACACTCCTGAAGACACATGCTGCCTGTGGATGTTATAATATGCAACAAGATATCACGTTACTGCATGTATGTGGTCAGAATTCATAGAAGAAGAAGAAGAAGGACGTGAATACTCGTCCGTCTCTGTGCATCAGCCTTGCGACTGGTGGATAAATGGAACATGTCGGCTTCAACAGAGCTACAGGTGGACCGTCTCCCTGCTACTGAAGCTTTGTTTGCCACCCCAGCACCATCAATCTCAATTTCAGATTAAACTATGTTGGAAATCACATTACTTGTATTTTCATGGCCTTGAAATGACAAAACCGCTGATTGTGAATTCGACTTAGTTGTTCTCAAGAGGTAGCGTGAGTTTTAGATTTCTCATGAATAGATCAACTGAAATACACATGAAAATAAAAGCACTTTGCCGTAACTGCTGTTGATTTAAATGTGTTATACATGAAGGCTACTTCACTTGACTAGATAGATAGATAGATAGATAGATAGATAGATAGATAGATAGATAGATAGATAGATAGATAGATATGACAATGAAATAACTCACAAAGTTAATAAATTAGGCAATAAATATGAAAATAAATAATTATACAAATCATGGGATGTCATTTTATTCTATAATAACAAACAAATAAATAAATATTCCATTAAAAACATTGTAATGTACAGCACATTATATTGCAATATTTGCTATTTATTGCTTATATACTCATGGCCATATATATATATAATAAAGGCCTTTATTATATGTATCTATGAATTACCTAACTGAGTTAATAAACCAGGCAGTAAATATAAAAATAAATCGTAATTATATAAATAGTTGGGGTTTTTTTCTTAAATGACATTTTTCGAAGGACAACTTTTATTTATTTTTAACCTCTTAAGCCCCGAGCTCTTGTTTGATATGCATTTTTTTAAAAATTCTCTTTGCTATTTGATCTGATCAAAAAAAAAAAGAAAAAATAAAGAAAATGTGATGTCTATATGATGATGTATATATATATTTTTTAAAATAGATAAAAAAATATTTTTTTAAATAACAAAAAATTAAAAATAAAAATAAATGACAGTAATGAAATATTAAATAAATAAATAAAATTAACTACTGTGGTAATATAACCCAAAATGTGATGTCCATGCATGTATTTTTTAAAAATATATATTTTTTAAACAAAAAATTAAATATAAATAAATGACATTAGTTAAATAATAAATAAATAATTTTTAAAAAATAATCAAATTAAATATTGTAGTAATATAACTCAAAATGTGTCTAGGCAGAGTTTAAGGGACTTCTCGTTTTTTCATTTATTGAATTTTTAATGTATCTAATTCTGGATTTGTTTAATTATCATGTTCATTTCAGAGTAACAGTTTGTTTGTTTGTTTGATAGTAACAACATGCCACAACTGATGAGTAGGGACTGAAAATGAACAAACTAATACAAAGAGTGGAACCGACCCCCGGACAGCTCGCGCGCGGCCGCCTCGCGATGCGCATCATAAATAATTCGACGCAGCTCGTACGTGTTGCGTCACCGGAGTGGGCGTGGCTCCCAGCGCGAGCCGCTCGGGTCGTCCGCTGACAACAAACATGCGCTGTAGGCGGACCGAGGGGCACCGAGTGACAGCAGGCGGTTCGAGCAGCTCCGGCGACGCACTCAAGTTACTCCTCCGCGGCCGCGACCAGACGAGTTTTGAGCTTTTCTGTCCGTCGACCGAGAGAACCAGAGAGTTGAGCGACGCGCCGCCGTCCGAGCGACCGAGGGTGTCCGGTTTCCTCCCGGCTGAGGGATTGCGATGCCCTCTGACTTTATCTCCCTTTTCAGCGGGGACCTCGACCTCAATTCTCCCAGATCGTTGTACTCTAAAGGTAACTTCACTCCTCTCGTTGTTTGTCACTTTCTGATGCTGGTCCCGCCTGCGTGGGGGGTCGTGGAGGCGTCCTGCCCCCTTTAAACTGTCATTCACGTGTAATTCGCGTGGGTAGTTTTAGGAGTTGAGTGGACGCGGATGCCCACTGCGTCCTTCACTCTGGTCTCCTCGAGCTGAAGGTGAGGAGCTTTTACTTTTTATTTTTTACACTCCTGAGCAGCTGCATGCACACCGGTCAGACCAGTTTGCTAGACTCCCCTGGCAGCTGAAAAACACTGCTATCTATTTTCTGTGGCTTGTTTGAATAGGCCACGAGTAGTGCCCACCCCCTCTCACCCCCCCACCCCTGGGGCATTAACTGCCCCCAGAGAGGCGCTAGTGGACCCATTAACATAAACTGTGTGATGTGTCATCAGACAGACAGCCTGGGGCAACCTGTGGGTAGAATAACTTCAGCTAGCAGGTAGAAATGTGACCAAAAAAATGGATAATAAACCACTAATTAGCATCTTACCATCATTAGTGAGGTGTCCACAATATGTGTTAATACTCAAATGCAGAAGTCTTTTTTAATCTAGTTTCCATCATGACACTGGGCTAAGCCAATATCAATATGTGGATATCAGCTAATTTCCTCCTTTTTTGTCTGTTTTTTTAAGCTAACCATTCGTAGGACTGCACCATATTGTCATATTTTATGCAGTATGTGTTATAACATGACAGAACTGATCCTTCTCGGGTGATTTAATAGTACATATGCAGCCAGACAAATGGAATACATGTTTGAAAAACCTGAAAAAAAGCGTCAGGTTGGACTTTCTCAGATGGTGCAACACTGGCAAAGGCATCCAAAATGTTTTTTTTTGCTCCGCTGCATCCGGATCCGGCTTTGCACTTCCAGCGTTTGGTGGTGTTGACTTCTATTTGTGTTTCTGTATAACTTTCTTTTTATTTCTCACCTATTCCTTGTTCGTTTACTCATGCACACGAGAAGCTCAACAGACTCTGTGTCTTTCGAAAAAACTCCACCAACAACCCTTAAATCAGAGTAAAGTATCAAGCAGATAAAGAAAAGTTTATTTGCCTTTTCCCTGCTATTACCGTCACATTTAATGACATCTCCTTGGGTTCAGTTTGACTCCAGCGATTTAAACCTCCAGAAAATATCATGATTCAAATTGTTACCCAAGTTTATGTATAAATAGTCCTTTAAGTAGAACAGAAAAATGATGTTAATGACTTGTTTAAAGATGTTAAACAGATAATAGGAGGGTTCTTCACATTGTGATGGGACAACTGCTCATGAGTCTTCTCTGTGATCGTATCACATAACTTACAGCATCTTTTATTTTCATCCACCGACGTTTTTCTGCCGTTCCAGAGCAGCGCCGACACTAAAGCTGATTCCAATTTACCCGTCGAGCTCCACGTCACGCTGAGGTCAAGACTTTGGAAACTTTGTGTGTAACCACTGCTCTCAGCGGCTGTTCAGGAAAAGCACAGTCGGCCATGTCCAGACTACCGATTCGTCTCGGCGCTTTGGCAGCCGGACTCTGCAAGGAGTGCAGAGGACCAGCTGAACCTGGCTTAGTTCTCCTCCATCAGGCCTTTACATACGAGCTCCCAGTAGATCGACTTTTATCATAATCATTGTAATAGTGATAGTTTCAACTACAAATCATAGGTTCCCCTGCTGCCTTAAACACTGAGTTAACTGGATGATTGGCTCAGAGCTGATTTCTGAATTTAGAAGTCCATCAAAGTTAAGATATTAATTGAAATCAACATCTGTTCAGTCACACTGACAGATTCTACACACAGCTTCGCTTTGCATTTACATTTATAGCTTCTGTCGACTTCATTTTAGTAAGTTATCAGCGTATAAAGACGATTCACTGCTAACCACGATTATAGACAGAAACAAAAATGTTGGTAGAGACACATTACTGGCAGCAAACGTTTTGATTATTGTTTATTTAATCAGTCGATTTAACTCAAACTCATCACCAGACGTGAGGTGAACTTCTCAAGTGGCCTGAAAACAAGAAAAAAAATAAGTTTAATTTACATTTTAACATAAAGTAGTTGGTTGATTCCACTAAATTCATGTTTTACAGGGTAGTGTCTAACTCGCAATGATCTGAATGTCTTTCCAGAGTCGTTAAATCCTTTCTGTGATACACATTCGACACTTTAAATCAGGTTATCCTTCCTGAATTGTATTCTAGCATCTCACTAGTACTTGGGGAAAAATACCTCACTAAATACCTTCTGTACTAATCTCTCAAATGAAGAGAAGAAGTTCTTGGTAAGTTAGCGTATTTCTAAAAATTCTGGCATCTTTTTTACTTACTTGAATCATATATGCAAAAAAAGGAAAAGTAATAAACACTGTATGTTAATCTTATACTGACTAATCCTTTAATTTTTTACCTGCTAATAATAAAAAACATTTCCACATTCACTAGTTTAAAAAAAATCCAAACTGCAGTTGCTTCTTATCAGATAAAACCACCAGCGATGCACAGGTCTAGCAAGAAGGATGAAGTAAAGTTATTTCTTTGTCTGAGGTCAGTTTTATTATTTACTTATTTCAGTTTAATAAA